CACACTCACCATCGCCATGGGCTGTAGAGAGGAGGAACCCCGTCCCTGGCCCCACACTCACCATCGCCATGGTCTGTTATTTCCCATGCTTGCCCCTAGCACAATAAAACACTATCCTCTGGAAAGGTGGAATGTTGCCAACAACCATTACGTTCTAGTAACATGGATCACGAATAGGGGATACAAACCCGTTTCTTTTGTCTTTTGAAGACTAGTTGTAAATTGGGTAGCAAGGTTGGTTGCCCGGGGGACAAACTCATTCTGGTCCGAGTTCACACTCAGGGGTAGGCAGAAAAGCCACATTTTTTCCCATATTTACAGTATCTATCACGGAATCAAGGCCGAAAGGTTGGATATCTACAGTACTGAGCCAGAGGGTTTACAGCTCATGGTTTCTGGGACCCCCCCCCCCCCCCTTCCCCCCCCCCCGAAGTAATTGGGTTAACCGTTTAAAAGATTCTTGCCTGAGTTGGATAAAAACTATGTACAGCTGGACAAACAAGCACTGTAAGGGTGGGGGCACAGCCACACATAGAGGGAATTGTTAAGTAGAATAAAGACAATACCGAGACCCATAGGGACAAGTTGAGAGTCACTCGTCTATGGTATCCAACAGGCCTATTCTAAAATGGTTGCCTCTAATGCCCTTTGGTGTATAGAATGAGAAGTCCTGACTAAGGGAGTAAATTACAGTGTGGGCGACCGTGCAGACTCGATGTGGAGGCAGATCATACAAATGTGGGGGGTAAGGGAGGCGCTTGGCGATCGCGGATACTTCCCGTTTCATGAATCACGCACCAACTGTTGGCAGAAACATGGGGGAACCTGATGGTTCTCGAGGCTTGTAAACTGTCCAATTATCACTTGACACTTCTTCGTGAAATGGAGAATGTGTGGCGTTTAGTGTCTAACATTTTTTCAAAAAAATTTCTAAGCGAGCGTTTTTTTTTTTTTTTTAATAAACATTAAAATTGATGTTTTGGATGGAGAAGCAGAAGCAGACTTCTCTTTTCTCGACCAGCTGGAGCTATTTCTGCTGGTGCCGTTGGTTCATTGGGCATCTGGTGCTGAGCTCCTATTTTTAACACAGCAGTTGCCATTTGATAAAGTATGCGGTGAATATCAGGGTCGTTCGCCATTTAAAAAAAAAAAAAACAAGTTACTTGCCTTTTACCGGACGTTGCAGAACCTGCAGTTTTGGCTACTTTATGGTTTTGTGTCTGCTTCAATTGTCGGCGCCCCATACAGCTTTCGAAATCAACGCAAAGCGGTCTGCTGTTATGTCGCCTGCGTCTGAATCGACCCTGATATTTCGGAATTATGAAGGGCTTTGTCAGCGTCTTAAGCCACAAACGCTGACAAGTCATTCCTCCTGTTAGGGGTACACAAATTATGAGCTAACATAAATCAAAGAAACTTTGATGTGGTTCTGTAACTTTGATGTGGTGTCTGTACCTTTGATGTGGTGTCTGTAACTTTGATGTGGTGTCTGTAACTTTGATGTGGTGTCTGTAACTTTGATGTGGTGTCTGCAACTTTGATGTGGTGTCTGTACCTTTGATGTGGTGTCTGTACCTTTGATGTGGTGTCTGTAACTTTGATGTGGTGTCTGTAACTTTGATGTGGTGTCTGTAACTTTGATGTGGTGTCTGTAACTTTGATGTGGTGTCTGTAACTGTGATGTGGTGCCTGTAACTGTGATGTGGTGCCTGTAACTTTGATGTGGTGCCTGTAACTTTGATGTGGTGCCTGTAACTTTGATGTGGTGCCTGTAACTTTGATGTGGTGTCTGTAACTTTGATGTGGTGTCTGTAACTTTGATTTGGTGTCTGTAACTTTAATGTGGTGTCTGTAACTTTGATGTGATGTCGGTAACTTTGATGTGGTGTCTGTAACCTTGATGTGGTGTCTGTAACTTTGATATGATGTTGGTAAATTTTGATGTGATAGCTTTTTTTTTCTCTCTCTCTCTCTCTCTAATCAAGGACGACCGTTCTTTACCAAGAACCCAGAAGAGTTGAAGGGAGAATTCACTCGCACGTCTCTGGTCAAGTCGGTCAGGGGACTGGGTTTTACTATTGTTGGCGGCAACTACAGGGACACCCAGTTCCTACAGATCAAAAACGTGGTGGAGAATGGACCTGCCTACCTCAGCGGGAAGTTGAAGACTGGTACTACTTTTTATATTTCATTATTCTCATTATTAAAACTCTTTCAGATGATGATGTATTCTGTGTAGTGAAAAATATGTGTATCGAATCCACACACATTAAGGTTGGCTGCAGCGCACCCAGTGCTGTCTTGGAGAATATCAGGTGGTGAGACTTCCAGTTTCTTCCACAGTGCTATTCTCATACCACTGCCTAAACACCAAGAGAATAATAGGTTTTTATTGAACTCTCCAACTTGAGAATTGAACTCTGGTTTTCAAAGATCCTGAAATCCTGAAAAATGTTGAATAATCTCAAAGTCACAGAGCCACTGCACTCAGGGGAAGGATGAGACGGATAACAGATAAACAGTCGGAGGTAACTGGTACCATCAGAATTGGAACTCTTCGCTTGCTTCTGAAGATTGGTACTGAGCACTTATGGGAGTGTCCCAAGTGCTGTGATGTTGATTCTTAATTCAACATTTAACAGAGTCAGAGAACCACTGCGTGTCCCGTTTGGTATCGCTTAACATTTTCTCTTCCTCTGCAGTCACGCGGTACAGAAAGCTTCTATCTCGTATGCACTTTAGATGTTAGTTAGTTAGTTGTTTAGTTGGTTGGTTGCTTGATTAGTTTGTCCACAGGTTATCCTCATTAGACATTACACATTGAACCGTTCATTCTAAAGTTCATGGATGCCCTCCTCAGTCAATCTTGCGAGAGTAGTGGCTGACAGCACCAGTTAGTGTTTGTTTCTTGTTCTTCTTTGGCTTCCTGCCTAACTTTAGATGTCAATCAAAACATGGGTCAAAGTGTCATGTAGTTGCTATTGTGATTGAACTCATTGAATAGACAAAGTTTGACTTAGGTTCTTGTGTCTGTACTCACCATCTCTCCTCCTTCCCTCTACCTGTCTAACAGTGATTGTCTGTGGCTGAAACATTGTGAATATGCCTCACAATTTAGCAGTGTCTGGTTCAGTTCCAGCTGCAGGTAATTTGGCTTTGCCATGATTAAAACAGCTGTATTGAGAGCTGATAGTTCAGGCAGCAGTGACAAACCACTTGATGTAACATTGCATAGTAACACCAGACAGTCAGTAATTGCAGGGGTTGGTTTTCCAACATCCTAAAAAAGGTAGGCGATAACTTAACTAATGGTGGTCATCGTTTCCTTCCATGATGGTTGTCCATAGGATTGACACCTCCTGAATAATTGTCAGATAAGAGCAAAGCTCGGAAACCCCATTTAAGCTTAAAACAGTTATTGAGGGTACCCCTGTGACTACTAGATAGATGGCCTTCAGTCTAACGTGACAGTGTGCTGCAATGATCTGTCTAATTAAATATAACAGCCTGCCATATGATTTGTGTATCTATCATTGTTTATCTGTCTATCTGTTTTTGTCTGTGTCTCCTTTTCTCACCTTTCATTACTTCAACTACATTTTAACATTCATCTTCGTTATTTCACATGGGATAACCAATATAATCTAGTTTTCAGCAGTAACATCAGATTTATCTCCCTTATATCAATTCAAGGCAAGTTATTTTTGGATGAGGATTTAACAAAAATCTTATGCAATAAATCTCTTGTTGTTGGATGTTAGAAAAATGATGTGTGATAATTAAAACCAGATTTAACATACTGCTGTGAAGTCTGGATAATGAATGAGTTAACAGCTAATTTTCCTGAGGCCTCAGAGATGTGGCTGTTACTATTGTTGGACAGCAATCAACTTTCACTCCATTTTTTCAGCGGTTATCTCATATGTTAAAACTGAAATAACATTACAATAGAAAATACATTGTTTGTTTTTAAAGCTATATAAATGTTATATCATGGTGAGCCGTTTATTTATTTTTAAAAAAAAGAAGAAGAAGAAAGGTAGAGTAAGGCCGTAGAGATGATGATGGCTGAAACATTATTTGGGAGAAGATGAGCACCAACAGACTGACTCCTGAACACTGTCCTCAAATTTGACTTATTTGTTTTCTTTTACATTTTAACTCTCATTGGAGCTTAGACCCTCAACCAATTCATCCTAAGTGTGCTACCTGTTTTGTTATCTTGGTCTTTAAAAATATAGTTTAACTCTAATATGTTTGTGAGGTAAACAGTTCCTTTCCTTTTTAGAATAGGTCTCAGGAAGACAATATTAAATATCGCAATTTAGTTTTTAGGAAAGGGTACAGGAAAACAGTGCTTAAAATGGACTCCAGGCAATCTGTTATTAAGTAAATGTCGCCAGTATGATGCTGATCCTATTAGCCATTGACGCAGAATGACCTATATTAAAAATATTGATCTAGAATCATATGTGCGGTGCACTTTTGGTGTAGAAGGGGCTCATGTTTCTAACTGCAAGACAGTGTTAAATCTTTGTTTAAAAATTATGTGTTAAATAGGGTACTGAAAAGCAATGTGTCGTAATTATTTATTAGAAAAAGGTACCGAAAAACATTCACTCTTGCCGTTGTAATTCTTTGTTAGAATACTAACAACGGTATCATTGTGTGATTTTTCAGGGGATGTTCTTGTACGTGTCAACAACACATGTGTCCTAGGTTTCACGCACCAAGATGTTGTGCGGTTGTTTCAATCCATCGCACCAGGAGAAACAGTCCATTTAGAGACATGCCGGGGCTACCCTTTGAACTTTGACCCCGATGACCCCAACACAGAAATTGTCACCACTGTGGCAGTCACATTACCTCAGGATGCTGGCACATCCAACATGTCTTCCACCGCTACAGCGAACACTTTCCTGGACTCAATCAATCCCCACAACCTGCGAGCAGGCATGAAGTCTTTGCCAGACCTCACCAGGTCTGTCGTGGGCCAGGGCATGAACTCCACGTCCAGCTTGTCACCTTCCAACAGTCACGATGAGAGAGGGCTCATTGCTATGATGAGTCATGATGATGCCATACCTGACTTGGTCTCTCTCTCCATTAACAGCCGGCCAGAGATTCTGACCATCCCAATCGTCAAGGGCCCAATGGGGTTTGGCTTCACAATAGCAGACAGCCCCTATGGCCAGAGGGTCAAGCAGATTCTGGACCAGGCAAGGTGTAAGAACCTGGCTGAGGGCGATCTCCTGGTGATGATCAATTCCCACAATGTCTCCGAGCTGCCTCACCAGCAAACTGTGCAGGTGCTGAAAGAATGTCAGCAGGATAAGGAGACCATCATTGTGGTCCAGAGAGGGGGTAAGAAATTTATGTCTGTGGTGTGATGATTAGAGTTCATTGTGAGCTTTATATGGTTTGTCTTACCATCATTGTGGTCCAGAGAGGGGGTAAGAGATTTCTGTTTGTGGTGTGATGATTAGAGTTCATTGTGAGCTTTATATGGTTTGTCTTACCATCATTGTGGTCCAGAGAGGGGGTAAGAGATTTATGTTTGTGGTGTGATGGTTAGAGTTCATTGTGAGCTTTATATGGTTTGTCTTACCATCATTGTGGTCCAGAGAGGGGGTAAGAAATTTCTGTTTGTGGTGTGATGATTAGAGTTCATTGTGAGCTTTATATGGTTTGTCTTACCATCATTGTGGTCCAGAGAGGGGGTAAGAAATTTCTGTTTGTGGTGTGATGATTAGAGTTCATTGTGAGCTTTATATAGTTTGTCTTACCATCATTGTGGTCCAGAGAGGGGGTAAGAGATTTCTGTTTGTGGTGTGATGGTTAGAGTTCAGTGTGAGCTTTATATGGTTTGTCTTAACATCATTTTGGTCCAGAGAGGGGGTAAGAGATTTATGTTTGTGGTGTGATGATTAGAGTTCATTGTGAGCTTTATATGGTTTGTCTTACCATCATTGTGGTCCAGAGAGGGGGTAAGAAATTTCTGTTTGTGTTGTGATGATTAGAGTTCATTGTGAGCTTTATATGGTTTGTCTTACCATCATTGTGGTGCAGAGAGGGTGTAAGAGATTTATGTTTGTGGTGTGATGATTAGAGTTCATTGTGAGCTTTATATTGTTCATTACCATCATTGTGGTCCTTTTGTGGTGTGATGGTTAGAGTTCATTTCAGTATGGTTTTCATCCTCCATCCTCCAGGGGGTAAAAGATTTCTGTTTACTGGCTCAAAGCTGGGCTGATCTGGAAGCCCAGGCAGGCAGTTGTACAAGTACATCTCAGTGCAGATTCAGACATCCAATCTTTGAGCTGAGAGGCAAAAGTTAAGGCGTTACACCACCATTGCTCTCTACTCTAATTTCTGTCTTTCTTTTGTCCAGCAAAATGTTGCAGAAAGGAGTTAGATGAAGTTTCCTGTCCTATGCTAGTTGTATAGCATGTGTTAATTCCATATTGTGTTTCTGTGGTGTCACCTCCACCCAGCTCTCTTTTGGTTGGCCTCTTGCCTTGAAGACTGCTGTTTACATGTAGTACAATCTAGCTACTGGCTGATTTTTGTTCCATCCTAACCAGATGACCAACCTATTTCATTCTTTTAATGTTTTGTGAAATCGTTTTCTAGTACTGTGCCTACCTTTATTGTTAGTTCTTAATTGGCGACTCCGTCTCTCCTTGTTTTCTAGTACTGTCAGCCTATCTTTGATTGGCAAAAATTAGGTGTTCTTAATTGGCGACTCCGTCTCTTCTTGTTTTCTAGTACTGTGCCTACCTTTATTGTTAGTTCTTAATTGGCGACTCCGTCTCTTCTTGTTTTCTAGTACTGTGCCTACCTTTATTGTTAGTTCTTAATTGGCGACTCCGTCTCTTCTTGTTTTCCCCACCACATGTCATATACATCTCATCTCACATGTTGTTAATTGGCATTCATGTTTTTCTAGGACTGTCCACGTCTAGCTTTGATAGCACACAGTTGGTACAAATAGCCCATTTATCATCTACTCTTTGGTCTAATTATACATGAAAAAAAATGCATTTTTAGAAGCATTTGATTCAACATTGTCTAAATATTGGTGCTTTTTGTCTCTCCTAATTTAGGCATTCCTCCCCCTGGAAAAGTCAAGAGGCAGATCAAGATGGTGAGTATTGAGCAGAAATGTCTTTTGCATTTTTGTGGCTGTCTTGTGATCAAAATGGACGATAGGCACAGTCACTGTTTTTAATTATGGCAAATTTTTTGCTTCTGACAGATGATGGCTGTTGCAATTTTCTCCATTTGTAGACTGAAAGATATAGTTTTGTTGCCCAGATACTGAGAAGTAATGGTGCGACACTGTGAGCTATGGATTTCATTTTGAATATTTTTCTACTGACCAGTGTGGTGTAGTGCATTGTAGATTCAGAAAATGGTGTGTGATCTGTTGCCACAGAATTGGTTGTGGCTTATGTGATTATTGTTGGTCACCTTCTTTGCACAAACACTCCTAGCTTGTTTTTGTTTATTTGTAAACTGTTGATCATCTTCACTGCATTAACACTCCTAGACTGTTTTGTCTGTAGAAAATCAATCACTTGTATTGGGCATGAACACTGTTATTATTATGTGGCTGTTGGACAGGTTTAGCATCATGGCATGAAGGAAGATCTCTATCAGAGACGATTGGCTGGACACAAGACAGAAGGCTGTTGGACAGGTTTAGCATCATGGCATGAAGGAAGATCTCTAACAGAGACGATTGGCTGGACACAAGACAGAAGGCTGTTGGACAGGTTTAGCATCATGGCATGAAGGAAGATCTCTATCAGAGACGATTGGCTGGACACAAGACAGAAGGCTGTTGGACAGGTTTAGCATCATGGCATGAAGGAAGATCTCTATCAGAGACGATTGGCTGGACACAAGACAGAAGGCTGTTGGACAGGTTTAGCATCATGGCATGAAGGAAGATCTCTATCAGAGACGATTGGCTGGACACAAGACAGAAGGCTGTTGGACAGGTTTAGCATCATGGCATGAAGGAAGATCTCTATCAGAGACAATTGGCTGGACACAAGACAGAAGGCTGTTGGCAGACATGATCAACATGGAATGGACTATAACAAGAAGACTACAAGCCAAATTTTAATTCTCTGTCTGACAGATCTCAGAAACTGACGTGTTTTGGCCACTTTAAACACCACAATGGAATTTCAAATAAAAAATAATAGCAGAAGTCCTTAACCCCCCCCCCCCCCCCCTTCCCGGTCAGAGGCAGACCAGCACAAAGATTGGCTCAGAATGTAAGTTACACTTTTTGGGTAGACAAGTGCCTCTGTTAATGATGTGACAAATTCTTGGTACTTGTTGGGTGTGCTGTGAATGTGTTGTTGTTTTTTTGGCACAACACAACTACTGAGTCTGATTACAAATTGTTTTGAGACTGAAAATTCAGAAATGCCAGTTTTTAGTCTAGCTTGTTTGTGCAGTTATAGACTGGTCTATGGTCATTTTGTTGTCTATCCATGTCTTATTCACATGTATAATTCACACGAGACACTTGATATATATTGATGTTTTATTTGTTGTCACTTCAGTCTCAGAGTTTTGATGAAAGGCAGCAACAGCAGCAGTCAGAGGCTGTCACAGGATCAAGAGGACTGTATATCTATCAGCACCAAGACCATGTTGTTAATGGTAAGTTGTGACACACTTGTTGTCTTTGTTGGTTATAGGTCTGTGCACGAGTGGGTTGTTAATGGTAAGTTGTGACACACTTGTTGTCTTTGTTGGTTATAGCTCTGTGCAGGACTGGGTTGTTAATGGTAAGTTGTGACACACTTGTTGTCTTTGTTGGTTATAGCTCTGTGCAGGACTGTTGTTAATGGTAAGCTGTGACACACTTGTTGTACCAATTGTTTGTGAGGGGTTTCAGAAGTAATGCTGCAGCTGATTCCTTTGTCCTTACAACAGTACTTGGTGTTCTTGTGAAGTGTGTTAAAGTTTATCTTTCATTCTTTTGAGAGACTTGAAGTCAAAGATCAGCTTCATTGCTGAAGGTTTTATTTCACATACTGGTCATCCTGCTGCTGAGTGCATTGCTCCAGGCCATCCTGCTGCTGAGTGCATTGCTCCAGGTCATCCTGCTGCTGAGTGCATTGCTCCAGGCCATCCTGCTGCTGAGTGCATTGCTCCAGGTCATCCTGCTGCTGAGTGCATTGCTTGAGCTTCTATCCTACACACTAGTTATCTTGCTAGGAGCATTGCTCCAGGTCATCCTGCTGCTGAGTGCATTGCTTGAGCTTCTATCCTACACACTAGTTATCTTGCTAGGAGCATTGCTCCAGGCCATCCTGCTGCTGAGTGCATTGCTTGAGCTTCTATCCTACACACTAGTTATCTTGCTAGGAGCATTGCTCCAGGCCATCCTGCTGCTGAGTGCATTGCTTGAGCTTCTATCCTACACACTAGTTATCTTGCTAGGAGCATTGCTTGAGCTTCTATCCTACACACTAGTTATCTTGCTAGGAGCATTGCTTGAGCTTCTATCCTACACACTAGCTATCTTGCTAGGAGCATTGCTTGAGCTTCTATCCTACACACTAGCTATCTTGCTAGGAGCATTGCTTGAGCTTCTATCCTACACACTAGTTATCTTGCTAGGAGCATTGCTTGAGCTTCTATCCTACACACTAGTTATCTTGCTAGGAGCATTGCTTGAGCTTCTATCCTACACACTAGCTATCTTGCTAGGAGCATTGCTTGAGCTTCTATCCTACACACTAGTTATCTTGCTAGGAGCATTGCTCCAGGCCATCCTGCTGCTGAGTACATTGCTCCAGGCCATCCTGCTGCTGAGTGCATTGCTCCAGGCCATCCTGCTGCTGAGTGCATTGCTTGAGCTTCTATCCTACACACTAGTTATCTTGCTAGGAGCATTGCTCCAGGCCATCCTGCTGCTGAGTGCATTGCTTGAGCTTCTATCCTACACACTAGCTATCTTGCTAGGAGCATTGCTCCAGGCCATCCTGCTGCTGAGTGCATTGCTTGAGCTTCTATCCTACACACTAGCTATCTTGCTAGGAGCATTGCTCCAGGCCATCCTGCTGCTGAGTGCATTGCTTGAGCTTCTATCCTACACACTAGCTATCTTGCTAGGAGCATTGCTCCAGGCCATCCTGCTGCTGAGTGCATTGCTTGAGCTTCTATCCTACACACTATCCTACACACTAGTTATCTTGCTAGGAGCATTGCTTGAGCTTCTATCCTACACACTAGTTATCTTGCTAGGAGCATTGCTTGAGCTTCTATCCTACACACTAGTTATCTTGCTAGGAGCAGCATCCTGCTTGCTTGAGCTTCTATCCTACACACTAGTTATCTTGCTAGGAGCATTGCTCCAGGCCATCCTGCTGCTTCTATCCTGACACTAGCATGCTGCTTGAGCTTCTATCCTACACACTAGTTATCTTGCTAGGAGCATTGCTCCAGGCCATCCTACACCTGCTGCTGAGCTTGAGCATTGCTTGAGCTTGAGCTTCTATCCTACACACTAGTTATCTTGCTACAGCATTGCTTGAGCTTTATCCTACACACTTCTTGCTAGGAGCATCTTGCTAGAGCATTGCTTGAGCTTCTATCCGAACACTAGTTATCTTGCTAGGGAGCATTGCTCCAGGCCATTGCTTGAGCTTCTATGCTACACATTGCTAGGCCATCCTTGCTAGGTGCATTGGCTTGAGCTTCTATCCTACACACTAGTTATCTTGCTAGGAGCATTCCAGGCCATCCTTGAGTGCTGCTTGAGCTTCTATACACACTAGCTATCTTGCTAGGAGCATTGCTCCAGGCCTCCTGCTGCGGAGTGAGCTTCTATCCTACACACTAGCTATCTTGCTAGGAGCATTGCTCCAGGCCATCCTGCTGCTGAGTGCATTGCTTGAGCTTCTATCCTACACACTAGCTATCTTGCTAGGAGCATTGCTCCAGGCCATCCTGCTGCTGAGTGCATTGCTTGAGCTTCTATCCTACACACTAGTTATCTTGCTAGGAGCATTGCTTGAGCTTCTATCCTACACACTAGTTATCTTGCTAGGAGCATTGCTTGAGCTTCTATCCTACACACTAGTTATCTTGCTAGGAGCATTGCTTGAGCTTCTATCCTACACACTAGTTATCTTGCTAGGAGCATTGCTCCAGGCCATCCTGCTGCTGAGTGCATTGCTTGAGCTTCTATCCTACACACTAGTTATCTTGCTAGGAGCATTGCTCCAGGCCATCCTGCTGCTGCTGCATTGCTTGAGGGCATCTTGCTAGGAGCATTGCTTGAGCTTCTATCCTACACACTAGTTATCTTGCTAGGAGCATTGCTTGAGCTTCTATTGCTCTTGCAGGCATTGCTTGAGCCTGCTGCTGAGTAGGAGCATTGCTTGAGCTTCTATCCTACACACTAGTTATCTTGCTAGGAGCATTGCTCCAGGCCATCCTGCTGCTGAGTGCATTGCTTGAGCTTCTATCCTACACACTAGCTATCTTGCTAGGAGCTGGCTCTGCTGCTGAGTGCATTGCTTGAGCTTCTATCCTACACACTAGTTATCTTGCTAGGAGCATTGCTTGAGGCCATCCTGCTACTGAGTGCATTATCTGCTGCTGAGAGCATTGCTTGAGCTTCTATCCTACACACTAGTTATCTTGCTAGGAGCATTGCTTTGAGCTTCTATCCTACACACTAGTATCTTGCTAGGAGCATTGCTCCAGGCCATCCTGCTGCTGAGTGCATTGCTTGAGCTTCTATCCTACACACTAGTTTATCTTGCTAGGAGCATTGCTCCAGGCCATCCTGCTGCTGAGTGCATTGCTTGAGCTTCTATCCTACACACTAGTTATCTTGCTAGGAGCATTGCTCCAGGCCATCCCTGCTGCTGAGTGCATTGCTTGAGCTTCTATCCTACACACTAGTTATCTTGCTAGGCAGCTCCAGGCCATTGCTGCTGAGTGCATTCTTATCCTACACACTAGTTATCTTGCTAGGAGGCTCCAGGCCATTGCTTGAGCTTCATATCCTACACACTAGTTATCTTGCTAGGAGCATTGCTCCAGGCCATCCTGCTGCTGAGTGCATTGCTTGAGCTTCTATCCTACACACTAGTTATCTTGCTAGGAGCATTGCTCCAGGACATCCTGCTGCTGAGTGCATTGCTTGAGCTTCTATCCTACACACTAGTTATCTTGCTAGGAGCATTGCTCCAGGCCATCCTGCTGCTGAGTGCATTGCTTGAGCTTCTATCCTACACACTAGCTATCTTGCTAGGAGCATTGCTTGAGCTTCTATCCTACACACTAGTTATCTTGCTAGGAGCATTGCTTGAGCTTCTATCCTACACACTAGTTATCTTGCTAGGAGCATTGCTCCAGGCCATCCTGCTGCTGAGTGCATTGCTTGAGCTTCTATCCTACACACTAGTTATCTGCTAGGAGCATTGCTCCAGGCCATCCTGCTGCTGAGTGCTTCTTGAGCTTCTATCCTACACACTAGTTATCTTGCTAGGAGCATTGCTCCAGGCCATCCTGCTGCTGAGTGCATTGCTTGAGCTTCTATCCTACACACTAGTTATCTTGCTAGGAGCATTGCTCCAGGCCATCCTGCTGCTGAGTGCATTGCTTGAGCTTCTATCCTACACACTAGTTATCTTGCTAGGAGCATTGCTCCAGGCCATCCTGCTGCTGAGTGCATTGCTTGAGCTTCTATCCTACACACTAGTTATCTTGCTAGGAGCATTGCTTGAGCTTCTATCCTACACACTGTTATCTTGCTAGGAGCATTGCTGCATTGCTTGAGCTTCTATCCTACACACTAGTTATCTTGCTAGGAGCATTGCTCCAGGCCATCCTGCTGCTGAGTGCATTGCTTGAGCTTCTATCCTACACACTAGTTATCTTGCTAGGAGCATTGCTCCAGGCCATCCTGCTGCTGAGTGCATTGCTTGAGCTTCTATCCTACACACTAGTTATCTTGCTAGGAGCATTGCTCCAGGGCCATCCTGCTGCTGAGTGCATGCTTGAGCTTCTATCCTACACACTAGTTATCTTGCTAGGAGCATTGCTCCAGGCCATCCTGCTGCTGAGTGCATTGCTTGAGCTTCTATCCTACACACTAGTTATCTTGCTAGGAGCATTGCTCCAGGCCATCTGCTGTGAGAGCATTGCTTGAGCTTCTATCCTACACACTAGTTATCTTGCTAGGAGCATTGCTCCAGGCATCCTCCTGCTGAGTGCATTGCTTGAGATTCTAGTGCTAGTGCATTGCTTGAGCTTCTATCCTACACACTAGTTATCTTGCTAGGAGCATTGCTCCAGGCCATCCTGCTGCTGCATTGCTTGAGCTTCTATCCTACACACTATCTTTATCATTGCCTGCTAGGAGCATTGCTCCAGGCCATCCTGCTGCTGAGTGCATTGCTTGAGCTTCTATCCTACACACTAGTTATCTTGCTAGGAGCATTGCTCCAGGCCATCCTCCTGCTGAGTGCATTGCTTGAGCTGAGTGCACACCTGCTTGAGCATTCTATGCCTACACACTAGTTATCTTGCTAGGAGCATTGCTCCAGGCCATCCTGCTACTGAGAGCATCTTGCTGCTGAGCAGGCCATCCTGCTGCTGAGTGCATTGCTTGAGCTTCTATCCTACACAC